TACGATTCTCCAAGATGGTGGACGAGAGGATATGCTCAGCAAAGTCAAATAACACCAGCTTATTTCCAATGGATATACGATTGTCAAAGCTTTTCGACGTAACGGACTGTGTCATCCATCGCCACATCTCACACTTCTTGACTCGCACGCTCAAAGAGTCTGAAGAAGTGTGCGATGACTCTACGGCTGCCCATACCAAGGGCACAAAAGGAGCTGTAGAGAACGACCCTCCTCTTACGCCCCCGGTTGATCATCATACAAAAGGTTCGGCTACTGGTCTGTTGCTAATTTCATAACAAAGCCAGCGCTGCGGGGCTTTATTGGAATATGGTTTACTGACAAGTCTAGAAGTTCCTTCTAAACCAGCAACCCCGGTATCTCCAATTTCATCAAAGCCGTATACTGTACAAACATCGACCTCGCCGCAACCATCCATATCATCCCCAATTTCATTGCATGGAAGTGCAGGGGTTTCTTCGGCTACAAAAAGCAGTGAAATGTCTTCTTTCCAATCGGTAGATTCGTCCAATGCCATGACGCGTTTATCTGGGCCCGATCAGAGCTTTGTAGTCGTACCTCAGGAGACGAAGCAACTGACAACTGTTCCGAATGAGGTCGAATGGATCCAAGTTGGTGCCTGTCGTCAGGCGAATCCCGATTACCGCGGACGCCATGACCTAATCAGCAGAATAGAAAACAGCTTGTTAAGATTGACGGAAGCTCAGCTGCGCAGTATATCAAAGCCTAATGCTTATGTCCTGTGCGGCGCGGCTGGACTTGGAAAGACACAGACAGCTCTGCATTTCTTCCATGCGTCCAAGCACGAATTTGATGTCCGATTGTGGATCCAGGGCGACAGTCAAGAGTCTCTATTCGTTGCTTTCAAGGAAATTTCTGCCAGGCTTGGATTGGAGCGCCGAGCAGATACCACAGATGCGGTCCTCAGCAGAGAGGTTGTGAAGGGATGGCTAATGGAGCCATATCAAGACTTCAATAGGAAAGAAGGGAAATTGATGAGATGGCTCTTGGTGATTGACAACGCCGACAATCCAGATCACGTTTTGGACTTCTGGCCGTACGACGGCCAAGGTTCGATTATCATCACGAGTAGGAATCGAGGAGCAATGACACAGAACTATTTCGGCGACTGTGGTGAGGAACTCACGGTGCTTTCTGCCGAAGACGCTATCATGTTACTACAACGTCTTCTTGAGCGAAATCGTCGCCCACAGGAGAAACACCCGATACTTCAACAAGCGGTCGAGAAACTGAGATGTTGGCCCCTGGCCATCGCACAGATGGCAGGCATCATGCATCGTGAGAGGATATCGGTAGCAAGATTCCTTGAGATTTACGAGACTCGGGAACACCGGTACAGATACCATTCCACACGATTTGGTAATATGCACGGCGGATACAAGATGACTCTAGCTACCGCATGGGCGTTGGAGGGTATGAGCCTGGGAGCTGCACAACTCCTATCAGTCATCTCCATGTTGGCTCCAGCATCGATTCCCGAGGAGGTCTTGACAAAAACTCCTGACAGATCTGGGTTGCCAGATTATCCACTAGATATCGGTGCCTACTGTCAAGAACGTGAGAGAATTCTGTCCCTGTCAATCGTATCTCAGCCATCGGGTGACAGCAGTCAAGATCTGGGGGAACTGTCTATTCACCCTTTGATTCAAGAGGTAGTGAGAGGCCAACTATTAAAGAATGGTAACCAAATGGTTTCGACCTTCAATGCAGCTATCGGGCTCCTAACAGGGGTCTGGCCCTTTGAGACACTCCCATTCTACGGCTTCCATGATTTTGATGGTATTCAGAGACGAGAGCAATGCGATAAACTGCTCCCTCACGCAACTCAGCTTGCCCGGTTCTACGAAACGCTGTCCGATGAGTTGAAACGCAGATGTACCAGTGTAGACCTATTGAGTATCTTCAGCGAAATCGCCTGGTAAGTCACATGTCGAGCCTTCCCGTGCATGACTGATAATTATATCAATCGAAAGGTACCAGTACCAGCGGTCGAATATGGATGCATCGTTGGCGTATATCAGACTGACCCTGGAGCTCCTGGACGATCAGCCTGATGGTTATCCTCAGATTCGGGCTGGTCAGCTAGGTACATGGAGCAATATCGCCATGGAGACCAACCAGCCAGACCTGGCTCTGCAGAAGAATCTTGAGGCCTTAAGAATCAGGCAAGGTCTCTTGGAAGAGACAGGGGAAGTCAATTCCCAAATAGCAGCCAGTTATACCGAGACTGCTCGCTCCATGATGATGCATGGCATGTTCGACAGAGCGAAAACACTGATCGAGGAGTCGATTTCCCTTCGGAAGCAAATGCCCCAGTTCTCGAGATTGCAACTATACAGCCCACTGTACTACAAGTCCTTGATATACTTTCACGAAGGGGAATATGATCAAGCCATCTTGGCAGCGGAGGAGGCTCTGAGGGAAAGAGAAGTGAATTTTGGGACAGACGATCGCCAAAATAAACGGTTCGTATTTCATACATCCGATGCATAGATTTATATGTGTATGCTAATATATGCCAGCACTGGACTACTTCTCACGTGCCTTGGCAACATCTTCAATCAGCAAGGCTTCCGAGAAAAGAGTTTTGCATTTCATCAGCGGGCTCTGATTCAACTCCGAGCAACAGGGGGTGACGATGACCTTGATACTGCCAACGCGTACTACAAGATCACATCTCACTATCTGAGGCATGAAACCTTTGGCCTAGCAAAGTACGTAACGTTTTACACCGTTTCGATCATACCTTTACGAGTCAGCGTTCTGTGTTGCTTACGAGAGTCATCATATAGATCTGCCATCGAGCGAGCAATACAGGGTCTCGGGAAATCAAGGTTTCACAGAGGAGAACTTGCTCGCGCCATGTTTATGCGGTCCCGCGTGCACTTCAGCTGCGGCGAGCCTCAGGAGGCATCCGAATCACTCATCAAGAGCGTGGAGTTGAGACGCCAGCTAATTCAAACCGACATGAGGGCACCCGATGCACTCGAAGAAGCTGACTTTGACGAATTGGTAGTTATTTGGAGAAGATAGATATTCCAGCGCGTGACTATAGTGTCGATATGTCATAACTATAAGAAACTCGGATCACATTGCAGCGTTCCACTGAATACAATCCTGGGCGTATGTTGAATTCTACAAGATTTCCCAGTGCCAGTCTATAGTGAGAGAGGCATAGTCTTGATTCACAGCGGTATTTTTGAACCCATTTACGGAAAACTACCTTGTCCTTGTCCCAGTTCCCACGTGCATCTTGACTTCCAGTCACCCTCGATAGAGTCTCGGTATGAGGCTAGGTCATCCCGTTGAACCATCATCGTAGATTCTTGTTTTCCTCTTGATTGCTACATAGAAAAAGCTCAGGTAATGAGGTGCGCTTGGGCCAACTATGAACCATTCCTCATTCTCGAGGTTGCAAAGAACATGGAAGAGAAGGTTAGTGTATTCCACCGCTGGCTACTACCTGACATTGCTCGGTCAGATTTCCGGGCCAACGTTATTCAATAAATTGGCCAGTCTTCGTAGCAGCGCACCAGTCGTACAGCACGACATGCCAGATCCCAGGGACAAACCACCCTCAGAGTGCAGCGACTCTGCAAGGTTTACGTCTCTAGGTACAGATCGAAGCTATCGTGAGCTGCCCGAAGCTCCATAATGTCTTTCACGGAAGTACGCGCCAGATCCCCAATCCCGGACCCAGCCGTAGACGCAAACTTCACGGTCTCAGGTATGTACCAGAGCTCAGAGCCGGGCTGATTGTGTAAAGTGAGTGTTGAGTACACTGTTGTAAGAATGTCTGCTATGAAAAGATGGATCATGTCGACCCGTGAGGGAGAAGAAATGGCCTACCCACAATCCCTCTCCCCCTCCTCTCTCTCTCTCTTTCTCACACACTCTCAGAGGCCCCCAAGACTAGATAGCCATGAAGAAGACCCGTCTTCCTGACAGTCATTGATTGAGACCATTCTTGATCATCAGCCTAAGCCTTTTCACGATATATCCCTTGGCAAGATTAGTAGTCACGGATCGCCTTGGTTTGCTGTTCGTATCACCAGCCCAGGGCCTCAACCGGGTTTAATGAAAGGCGCTTGGCTCAAGAAATCGATAGGCGATATGCTAGTACCAAGTCATGACATGACATTGGCTTACAGAGACTTTAACTCCAGTCGTATTTGGTGCAAATAGGGGACGTGAAAAGTCGAGGGACGTTGAAACCCCAGCTTATACATACCTTGATGGCGACTTTCCTTCTTATCACAGGGCTATGTGTTATAGCAGCCAGCTATCGCATACGCATTGATAACTAGATTTAGAATGCGGAAAGGCACGTCAAAACGAGACAATCAACGTTAAGGTTTCACAGCGTCGTGTAGTCGAAGGATACAGCTATGAGCCGGAATAGCTGAAACGATACAAGATATAATCAGGTACATATGTGGCCAGCTTGTCGATTTGATCTATTCCTTCACGAACATCGAGGCCAGTGTGATGGGTTGGAAACATCCCCAGGCCGCCACAACACTAGGACCACTCCACCCAAGTGTCAACTGCTGTGACTTTTACCTGTAGCACACACAGACAACTTATACGAAAAAAAACCTGTATAGGATACCTTCACACCGAACCCAACACACACCAGATAATTTGGCCGCGAACAGATTATCAATTCGTGCATTTGTACAGATGTGTTATAAGTAATTATCTCTCGGTATCACGTACAGCACCGTAAGAACCACACTAGCCTACGCCACTTGACACTGTGCTACGCACATGTTGGCACTGAGCATCTCCTCCATCCCGAACCACCGCACCTCTAGAATTAAGGGCTACATCACATCCCACCTGCGTGCATCAGTTTTACCAACAGACATAAAAAAGACTGAGTAAGAGTAACATGGAGAGCAAGGACAAACGCTAAGCAATAACCAAAAACGACACATTTAGCAAAAACATGTAGCAAGCGAGCAGCACGGGACTCGAACCCGCAACCTCAGTCTAACCATCCGTATTTGATGCTCACCAGGGAGACAAATAGGAGGACCGCGCGCTACCATTGCGCCAACCGCCCTTGAGTAGGGTCATCACCAGGGATTATGGGTAAATTTTCGGCGTGTTATCGGTGCTTATAAATGTGCGTCAGATGGGACCTTGCCAGATGCGGCTTGGCGATTTGGATATTTGGGCACACGTGATCCCGATTTGGCGACAGCGGTGTCAGCGAGAGCGACAGCGGGGGGGGGACCAAGGTTTTCGGGGAGTTGGGATGACGATGATGCAAGCTGTGTGGAATGTTGGTGGGGGTGGTGGGCAGTAGGTAGATAGGTGGGTGGAGAGATGGGTTGGCGCTTCAAGGGGGGCGTGGCTCAGTGTGCTTGGCTTGTAAGAGGCTGGGAGAGCCTGAGCAGGAGAAAAAAACAATTCAGTAGTAGTGCAGTGGCCATGGAGATGACCTGATGCAAGATGCATGCAAGCAGTCTGGCGAGTTTGCTAAGAGTTTATGTGGTCTCTCTGGCGCAGCTCTCGATGCCACGCTAGGTTCTACGACGCCTGGCGACATGCTGGTCTCGCAGGGCCATTGCAAGACATCTAGGGCATGTGAATTCTGACATGGGGATGTTCCGCGGGAGCCGCTCCGTGTCCAGATAGATATCAGACATTCTCCTTGGGCCTTCGTTGATTCTGAGCTCAGTCTGGATCCGGGATATCATGACCGAGATACGTCGCCGTGAATGCTTCAAGGTGCCTTTCCTCGACATAGCCCAAGCACGCCGCCGTCGCGTAATCAGTGTCGTGGCTGATGCTGATGGGCACCACTATGTCGTCGAATTCCTCACTGCCCTTGAGCAATGCTTTCGGCGGGCCGCTGGCCGTACTCGCCTTGATCTCCAGAGCTTCAGACGAAGCCGGCTCCGCCTGCGGCTGCCTTCCCACGCTCCCTGTAGGTGGGAGTGAGACGTTCCTAATAATGATGGAATGGAAAGTGGTAGGCCGATGCGGGTGTGCTTTCCTGATCGCTTCCTTTGCGGCAAATCTAGCAGAGGGAGCAACGACTTAGCTGGGCAGCCTGAAGAGTGAATCACCCGTAGTTGGCTTACCTGCCCGCCATGTACTGCGCCGCCGTCCTCCAATCGGACTGGGAATCCATTGTCCGATCAAGAATGGGCTTGAGCAATCGCAGAGACTTTGGCTGCTGGATCTCTTCGGGTGTCAGGACTCGATGGATGAACCTAGGTCCAGTGGTGCTTTGCAGCGTCTTCAGGATTCTGGGGATGTGGCATATGTCGGTACCTATGTGCGAGGGAATCAGCCGTCGGGCAGGCATGATTCTGTTCTTACAGTCTAATGGATTGAGACCTAGATGGCTATATATTTCGAGGATTTTCACCTGGCTTTCGTTACTTTAGAAACAATAGATTTTGCGCAAGAATAACTGTTGGGCGCTTCTTGACCGTTAAGGATTGCGCGCGTTCGCGCCGCGTCCCCAAATTTAATTTGTTCAGTGGCCCCAGCCGCAATTTGCAGGTGCCCGTTGATTATGCCTGGTAGGCAACTAACATCATCATTAGGTACCTTCTGTAGGTACCTACTTAGGGGTCTCTGATGCCAAACGTCCATCAACCGCGAATAGGACCTACGTTTACGGCAAACTCTGTGGCTATGATTCTTCTCGATTTCCATGATAATGCTGTTTTTTTTTCTGGCACCCATTCTCATCATGTTCCCAGATGCAATTCCGTGCCACTTCCAAACTGAATTGGACTCGGCTCGCTCTCCCCCATTACGCCGTAACATGAATCAAAACGCCGATGCCCAGTAAATATCATCCATCGGAACCCACCGAGTCAAAAGTGACAGTCTGGCTGAGCCTCAAGATTGCTTCGTTAACCTCCGCACCACCTCTTTCAACTACACCCCTCCCCGTCCGTCAACTGCCTCATGATCATCCACGATTCACACCTCGTGCCGAGAATCACGATGTCGAGATCACGGTTTATTAGTTTTCGCCCAAGAGAGGTGCTCGTTCAGCATCACCCTGTCGAGCTCGCGAAAACTTGAAGTCTTTCCCGGTCGCTGCAGGGATGGCCACGACGACGGTTGCCACGAATAAAACTGCCATGATGACAAACGCGAAAATCCACTGGAAGGCAATAACCTGGCGGAAGAATTGCGACACGCCGATGGCTGCGGCGAGAACGCTCAGATTGAAGCCCATCGTGTAGTCCTACACACAATCAGGCACTCGAACATGCATTGCAAAAAAGAGTGAACTAACCTTGTAGTAGAAGATGAAAAACAGTCCATACACTAGGATGGACCAGATGAAGATATTGCCGAAGATTCGCGCGACGAGGGTATTGGCATGAGGTACCATGATAGCACCATTCCAGTAGATCGCAACGAATGTCCAGGCAAGGGGGCCCGACACTGCAGGCCAGTGAATGAATCGCGCGTATCCGGGGTGTCGGAAGTAGAGCGATGACAGGTTGACGAAGTTGAGGATAATCATCAATTCAGCCCAGCCGAACGCGGAACGCACAAACAGCATGACGAACGCGAAGTGGAAGAGGTTGTTGATGATGAAGTGGCTGCCGACAGAGCACGCAGCATTCACCTTCTCAATCGTACCCGAGTACAAGTGAGCGACATACCCGCCTTGCAGAATGAAGAGGACGATCCAGTAGATGCTCGCAATGATATGGTCCATTCGGAACGCGGTCAGATACTTGTCATTCTGTTTCCAAATCCTTCTTCGCTTCCAGACGCCATCGTCGGGACTGTGGAAGGTGTAGTAGAACGAGACGACGATCGACAGCACCCAGCTGAGAGTGGTCAGAACCTTGTAGGCAATGATGGTGTTCTTGGTATGAGAGTCGCGCTTGGCGAACGGGTTGACTGTAAATGCATTATTAGTATGTTGGAAGAGTGGCTTCAGTACATGCCAGAAACATTTCATATCCACGTACTCTGGTGAAGGCGCTCCATGATGGCCACGATGAAATAGATAGGTAGGATGAGCAGCTCTGTACAGGTTCTCAACGGGCAACAATCCTGAAAGATTAGGCAGCACCAGATGAGAGAAATGATGGACGGCAAGGTAAGACAGTCACAGACGGCACGCAGGGTCCAGTAGTTATAAAGCAGCAGTCCTAGAACTCATGCAGGAATTGAAACTAATGACGATGGTGGGGTTTCTCATGGATTGGTATGCATTGGTTTGCGGGGAAGAAGCGCGTGACGTTGATTTGTGCAGAGTCGACAGCAGAGAAGCTATGAAAGGTGCTGCCATGCACTACACGACCTCTCATGGATGACTGCCCAAACACAGCACGCTGCAGGCGGCCTGTCTCGGATACTTCACTCTGCTACTTGATTAAGTGGCTGTGCCTTGCATACCATCATGTCCACTGTAGAGAAGGCCGTTTGCATCACATTCCTCCCAGGGACTGTTGCTAAGAATGGGATGAGACGGCTCCTTCAACGGATATAAGCAGATTTGATAGGGACACATCGCCAGGTGGTATCGAGGCCGATGTACAACAGCTGAGATGGGGATAGAGGAATCTCGTAGGACCACAGATGCTTTTGCATGGCTACACATGTTCCTTCGTCTGCAGTCATGAAACACAAGCAAGCGGACCTGTGAACAGTGGGCTCGTTCGTCACCTTCTGTCCGATTTGAGGTTTCCCGGGCGAATCAGCTTAGGGAATCGTCCAGGAGGAGTACCGAGGGTGCATGATAAAATACTGGCTATTGGCGATAGTCAAGCACGTAGGCTCAATTCCGGAATGGCATTATCGTCCTATCGGCTGCCCTGACCGACACCGAGGATGATGTAGAAGTAGGCGTTACGCCGCGTCTGGCCGCGTCAAACGGGATCAGGCGTTGCTCCATGCAAGCTGACCGGAAACGCCCCGCCAACAGGCCAGCTAGGATCGAGATTCCGCACCGTCTCAAGAGTGTCACGAGGTGACGCAGCAAGCCACAATAGGAACCGGGCGCAGCTGCACCCCTTCTCTGGCCTGTTACGGCGTCTGATATGAGCTTGACGAGTGCAGATCTAGGAGGTCAAAACTTGGAAGATGGGCACGCAAGGCACGCCGGAGCCTGGCGTGTTCGCCGTGACTGATCAGACTGATGACGAGTGAGAGTGACTGGAGGATGCAGGACGTCTTGGCTTTTGGGAAAAGACGAGAGATCTGCAAGTACAAGAAGACTTCTGGGGAGGGTTTGGTCCGGAACCCCACGTTTGTACGAGATGACAAGCCGTCGGACCGTTTCTGAATGGTTTCCGATGCGGAAAGCCCAAGTTGCAACAGAGACAAGCTACTATTGCTGCGAGGAATCGCCGAGAGAAGGGGATTCCTGAACAACAATCATTAAGCGGGTGCATTATTCTCTATCCCAGTGTAATATATTCCTGATTATACCTAGTTAATCCATAGAAATCTTTTGTGTTGACATTTGAAAACTCTTTGGACCGCTGATGATAGTGGGGCAATACAGCCCTGGCCCAAGCTTCAGTGCGGCTCATTCCTATCTTGGCCTCTTCGTTGACATTTTTACGGATGCGATAAGAGTAAGAAGCTATGCTATGCGAACCAAGTGTATCCCATCGTGACAGTCACAGATTGATTGGAAATCAAACATTATTTACATTCGGGATGGGAGTGTTATTCAAAAAGAGATACCTAGCCTCAGATAGCAAGCCACACCTAGGTGGTTGACAGGCAACCAGGCAGTGGGGGAGTGACCTACATGATCCAATACGCAAAAGTTGCTGCAGCGCATGACAAATGTGACCCTTTCTTTATATTGATAAATAAGAATTAGTTTTGCTTTTTCTTCATAATTGATTATAGCTTCCATTACAAAGGCTTCAAAGATGCCATCCCAGGAAGCTAGGTAAATGCCGTACTAAAGCCACACCCTACATTTCCCAGTCTAGCCTCAGCACACCATTCCCTCGTGCGAAAACCCAGGGTCATATCTTGATTCAAATTTCGATTTACTCCCCAAAATGAATAGTCTCTGTTTCTATCTGATTATATACGCCCACGATATTTGCA